TGCTCAGGTGAGGAGTTGGGGAAAGACCTGGGTTCCCTGAACCACCCCATTGTTAAGACAGGAGAGCAACCATTCTTGGATATTCCTACTCTCCTTGTAACCCATTCCTCCTTTCACCTCAATATGGGCACTGCTGGGAGTATGAAACTGGCCAGGCTAGAGAAACAAGAAAAGTAAGCTGTGATCATTCATTCATTCGGTCAGTCAGTCGACCATGTGTTGACACCATCATAAGTCTGTAGATACATTGGTGAAAAAGACACAGTCCTTCTCCCCTTGGAGTTTACAGCGTTTTAGGGAGGAAGGGGAGACTTTCAGATGGGGAAATGTTTTATGCTGTAGCACTGATGCACCTCATCATGGTCTGGCCAGAACAGTTAATATTGTCAGATCATTTTGCTCCTGTATTTTACCCAAGCGTTAGGCCCTGAATCGAGAACTTGTCATTTAGGTTTTGGTCAAAGGAAATCCTTAGTGGACTGCTTTCCCAGTTCCCTCCCCACCAAATAAGTAAACTAAATCCACCATTGATTACATTGTAAGTATTAAGTGCATTAAATTTTTTTCCACTTAATCTTTCCCACAACACTGCATATTAATTCCTATTGTGCATGTTTTAAAGATTTAAAAAACTTTATCTCAGAGTGGAAAAGGAACTTTCTTAGTCTGATTCCAAAGCCCACATTGTTAACTGCTGTTGCAACATATGGGCAAATCAGTTTATTCTGGAGCCGTAGGTAGATACCTCCAACTCAGGACTCCTTGTCCTGGTCCAATCCTCATTGTGCAGAAATACCTTTCTTTTTTCTGTCTACAGATGCCTGCCACCTCAGCTGGATGCATTGTATCTCTCTTTCTGTGGACTTTCTGACAGACACATCACAGTCCTGGCCCAGAGCCCTGCAGCCCTCCATCTAAGATTGCTGAGTCTCTGCAACAACGAGATATCCTGGGAACTTTCTGAGTCCTTCCAGACTCTGCTGGCTAGTGTCTCAGGCACCCTGCAGCATCTAGAGATAGATAATTGCCTGATGACTGATTCCGCTCTCACTGCTGTCATTCCGGCCCTGAGCCGCTGTTCCCACCTCCGTGTCTTTAGCTTCGCCTCCAACCCCATTACAATGCGTGCGCTCACCAGTCTTCTGCAGCACTTAACAAAGCTGATGGAGCTGAAGTGTGTAATTTATCCTGTCCCTGTCCATTGCTATGAACGATTGCATGATCCTGGCAGTTTGAACCGACTGAAGCTTTCTGAAGTGCAGGCCCAATTGAAGGCAATGCTGCAGGTGGTAAAGCGGAATGACATGCGCTGGACTACTTCTCCTGAGTGATTTTCATGGTACAAGGACTTGATTTAACACTGACATGTGGCCATTAAAGCACGTAGTGTTCTCACCTGCAGCCCAAGTTTTAGAGACACACATGTAAAATTTTATAGTTCCAGGAAACTGNCTGTCCTGTCCCAGAGCCCTGCAGCCCCCCATCTAAGATTGCTGAGTCTCTGCAACAACGAAATATCCTGGGAACATTCTTCGGCCTTCCAGACTCTGCTGGCAAGTGTCTCAGGCACCCTGCAGCATCTAGAGATAGATAATTGCCTGATGACTGCTTCCACTCCCACTGCTGTCATTCTGGCCCTGAGCCGCTGTTCCCACCTCCTTGTCTTTAGCTTCGCCTCCAACCGCATTACAGTGCGTGCGCTCACCAGTCTTCTGCAGCACTTAACAAAGCTGACGGAGCTGAAGCGTGTAATTTATCCTGTCCCTGTCCATTGCTATGAACTTTTTGCACACACTCTGTTCAATCCACGCTGGCCTCTTTATGCTGCTGGAATAGCTCCTCAACACTCAGGTCATTCATGGCTTTAATGTTACCTCCTCAGAGAGGTTTTCTCTTACTTCCCTTTACTTATTGCACTTCCCTTACTTCCGGTGCTTCCCCTACTTCACCATGTTGTAGCTCTTTCTCAATGTACCATGTATGTTCCCTTCATGGTCCCCATCGTTCCATATGCATTTGCACCCTCTGCTCTTACAGCATTAATTTGTGCATATCGTTTACCCATTGAAGTGAGAGCACTGCACTTCAAAGACTTAGTAAGAGAATAGAATGTTAAAATGACTAATTAAATATCTGTTTGTATGATTACACACTGAAATGTTAAAACATTGCATTTCAGACACTTAGTAAGAAAAAATGTAATATTAATTAGTATGTTGTTCTAATCGTTCACATGCTGAAATGCCAACAGACTGAATGTCAATGAATCAGTAACAAAAACGAATGAAAAGTAACTAATTAAAAATTGATGTATAGTGTTCCCTGTTGAAATGAAATCAGACCACATTTTAAAGACTTAGTAAGAAACAAGTTGCAAAGAAATTAATGTGTTTATACTGTTTCCATGTTAAAATGATAACATAATTAATGTGTTTATACTGTTTCCATGTTAAAATGATAACATACTGCTTTTCAGACTCAGTAACAAAAATAATTAAAATTAAATAAATTTTGTTCTTGTTGCTTCCATGTTGGAATAACATACTGTATTACAAAGACTTAGAGAAAAGAATGTAAAAAATAATAATAAATAAAAACAGTTAATAATGTTTTTATTGCTTCCATTCTGTAATGAATTATAAAAATAGTTAATAATGTTTTTATTGCTTTCATTGTGTAATGACAATATACTGCATTTCCAACTTAGAAAGAAAAACATGTTAAAATAACCAAAACAGAATTTGTATGTGTTTTTTTACTGGTGGAATAACAGATGTGGTTTTAGTTTGCATTTCCCTGATAACTAGTGATGTTGGGCATTTTGTCATGTATCTGTTGGCCATTTGTATGTCTTCCTTTGAAAAATGTCTGTTGCACTCCTTTGCACATTTTTAAATGGGTTGTTTGGTTTTTACTGTGTAATTGCTTGAGTTCCTTGTAAATTTTGGCTAGTAATCCCTTGTTGGATGTGTAGTTTGCAAAAATTTTCTCCCACTTTGTAGGTTTTTGTTTCACTCTGTTGATTGTTTCCTTTGCTGTGAAGAAGCTTTTTAGTTTGATATAGTCCCATTTTTTAATTTTTTCTTTTATTGCTTGTGCTTTTAGACTCATGTTCATAAAGTGCGTTCCCAGACCTAGTTCCTGAAGAGTTTCCTCTATATTTTGCCTTAGTAGTTTTACATTTTCTGGTCTTACACTTAAGTCTTTTTCCATTTCGAACTGATTTTAGTATATGGTGAGAAGTACAGGTCAAGGTTCATTTTTCTGTACATGGATGTCCATTTATTGAAGAGTCAGTCTTTTCCTGAATGTATGTTCTTGCTGCCTTTGTCAAAGATGAGTTGGCTGTAAGTATATGGGTTGACAGTCACGTATTTCATTCTCTTCTCTTGATCCGAGATTCTGTTTTTATGCCGGTACCATGCTGTTTTGCTTACAATAGCTTTGTAATATAATTTGAAGTCTGGTAGTGTTGTGCCTCTAGCTTTATTATTATTTTTTTTTGCTTAGGATTGCTTTGGCTATTTGAGGTCTTTTGTTTTTCCATATGAATGCTTGGATTGCTTCTTCTATTTCGGTGAAGAATGTCTTTGGTATTTTGATGGGGATTGCATTGAATGGGTAGATTGCTTTGGGTAGAATGGACATTTTCATGATGAGAATACTTCCCACCAAAGATCATGGAATGTCTTTCCACCTTTTTGTGTCTTCTTTAATTTCTTTCATTAGTGTTCTGTAGTTTTCATGTACAGATATTTCATCCTTGGTTAAATTGATTCCTAGGTGTTTTATTTTTTCTGTGTCTGTTCTAAATGGGCTTATTATCCTGATTTCTGTTTCTGTTAGCTCATTATTGGAGAATATAAATGCAACTGATTGGGGACATTTATTTTGTATCCTGCAACATTACAGAAATTATTTACCAGCTCTAAGAGTTTTTTGATAGAGTTTTTATATTTTTCTATATATAGTATCATGTCATCTGTAAATAGGGAAAGGTTGACTTCAACTTTTCCAATCTGGATGCCCTTTATTTCTTTCTCTTGCCTGATTGCTCTTGCTGGTACCTCTAGTACTATGCTAAATAGAAGTGATGAGAGTGGGCATCCTGTCTTGTTGCTGTTCTTAAAGGAAGAGACTTCAGTTTTCCCCCATTCAGAATGATATTGGCAGTGGGCTTGTCAAAGATGGTTGTTACTGTCTTGAGATTCTTTCCTTCTATACCTAATTTGTGGAGAGTCTTTATCATGAATGGATGTTGAATTTTGTCAAATACTTTTTCAGCATCTATTGAGATAATTGTATCTTTTTCTTCCTTGATTTTGTTGATGTGTTGTATCACAATTATTAACTTTTGTATGTTGAACCATGCTTGCATCACTTGGATGAATCCCACTCAATAATGGTGTACAATTTTTTAGATGTTTTGCTATACTCTGATTGCTAATATTTTGTTGAGGATTTTTGCATCTTATGTTCATCAAAGACATTGGCCTTTAATTAAAAGAAAATTATAATTTTCTTTTTTTGTTAGGTGATTATCTGGTTTTGGTATTAGAGTTATTCTGGCCTCATAGAATGAGTTAGATATTCCTCAATTTTTTGGAATATTTTGGAAATAATGGGCATTAATTCCTCTTTAAAGATTGGGTAGAATCCAGCTGTGAAGCCACCGGCCCTTGACTTTTCCTTGTTGGAAGATTTCTGATTACTGCTTCAATCTCCTTGCTTGTTATTGGTCTGCTCAGGTTCTCTATGTCTTCTTGGTTTGGTCTTGGTATTTTGTACGTGTCTAGAAATTTATCCATTTCCTCCAGGTTTTCACATTTATTGGTGTAGAATTGTTTATAATAATCTCTAATGATTCTTCATATTTCTGTGGTATTGGTTGTAATGTCTTCCTTTTCATTTGTTGTTTTTGTTATTTGGGTCTTGTCTTTTTTTTGTTGTTTGTTTTGTTTTGTTTTGCTTTTTAACCTAGCTAATTTTTTGTCTATTTTATTTATCTCCTCCAAAAAGAACAACTTTTTGTTTCATTCATCTTTTGTATCACTTTTTGGATCTCAATTTCATTTAGTTCTGTTCTGCTCTTCATTATTTATTTCTGTCTACTATCTTTAGGATTGGATTGTTGTTGTTTCTAGGTCTTTGAATCATAGTGTTAGGTCATTTATTTGATGTCTTTCTGTCCTTGTGATGTAAGTATGTATTGCAATAAACTTCCCTCTTAGTACTGCTTTTGCAGTATCCCACATGTTCTGGTATGATGTATCTTTATTTTCATTAGTTTCAAGTATTTTTTTTGATTTCCTGTTTAATGTATTCTTGGGGACACAGGTCATTCAGGAGCCTATTGTTTAGTTTCCATGTATTTGTATAGTTTCCAGTGTTTTGCTTGTTATTAATTTCCATTTTTAATATCTTGCAGTCTGAAAAGATACTTGGAATGATTTCAGATTTTTAAAATTTGCTGAGACTAGATTGGTGACCTTATATGTACTCTATCCTGTAGAATGTTCCATGTGCTGATGAGAAGAGAGTATAGTCTGTAGTTACTGGGTGAAGTGTTCTGTGTATATCTTCCATGTCCAGTTGTTCTAAGGTGTAGTTTAAATCTTGTGTCTCTTCGTTGACTTGTTGCCTGGAAGATCTGTCCCATACTGAGAGATGGCTCTTCAGGTCACCCACTATTACTGTACTAGGGCCTATTTCTTTCTTTAGCTGTAAGAGTGTTTGCTTTATATATCTGGGAGCTCCATTATTTGGTGCACACATATTTGTGATATGTCTTCAAGTGGGATAGATCCGTTTATCATTATATAAATGCCTTCTTTATCTCTTTTTATGGTTTTTGTTTTGAAGTCTATTTTATCCGATGTAAGAATAGCTACTCCTGCTCATTTTGGATTTCCATTTGCATTGTATATCTTCTTCCATTCCTTCACTTTTAGTCTGTGTGTGTCTTTATAGGTTTGGTGGGTCTCTTAAAGACAACATATACTTGGGTCTAGCTTTTTAATCTAATCAGTCAATCTGTGTGTTTTGAATGGGAAGTTTAATCCGTTTACATTTAGGGTTCTTATTGATAAATATAGCTTTATTCCTGTCATTATATTGCTTTTTGTTTACATGTTTTAAACATCATTTGTCCTTTTCTTCTACTTTTTATTTTTCATCATCCATGTTAGTCAGATTTTTAAGGTGACATGATTTAGCTTCTTTCTCCATCTCGTTTGCATTTTGGTTGTATTGGCAGGTTTTGCACTTACTTGCTAATCCATGGTATTGATTATTGTTTTTCAGATTCTACATGCAGGAAACCTTTGAGTATTTCTTGCAGGGCTGGTCGTGTGGTAGTAAACTCCCATATTTTTTTTTCTCAGGCAAATACACAATTTCCCCTCATTTCTGATGTATACCCATGCTGGATATAGGATTCTTGGCT